TGCAGTAGTGCAGTAAGCTCCTCAGTGTGTCAATTTTCTTCATTTCTCGAAGGCCGGTTTTGGAAATTCAAAGTGCGCTAACCTCCAGGGACGCAAGTATGCGCAGAATTTTTTTGCACTAAAATCAAGTTTAGGGTCAGCACTAACTACTACAGTCGGTCTGCACGTGTGCGAACCTACGTAGGGCCTTTATTTTGAGTCATAATTGTAAAATTTCCAGTCAAAAAACCGGAGCTGTGGTAAGTCTATGGGCTTCTCTAGAGGTATAGACAAAGTAAAAAATAATCATCTTAACGATTATGAAGACTTGAGAACCCACATGACCTGTAAGAAATGCAGTATTCATATTCCCAAGGATCTGAGGTTTGCAGTAAGCTTCTTAGTGTGTCAATTCTTTATTTATTGAAAGCCGGTTTTGGAAATTCAAAGTGCCCTAACCCCCAGGGACGCAAGTATGCGCAGAATTTTATTGCACTAAAATCAAGTTTAGGGTTAGTACTAACTACTACAGTAGGTCTGTATGCGTGCGAACCGGCGCAAGACATTCATCTAGAGCCATTTTTGTAAAAATTTGCTTGGAATTAGTAGAAAATAACGCTTTGTCTAACGGCTTGTCTAGATGTATAGACACGTTTTTGAAAGATAGTAAGAACGTATAAATCTTTAACATGCCTTATATTTTTGATACACCATAACAGAACACTTCACATTTGCATCTATTTCTGTGTGATGAACTTCAAATCATAGGACCTGACAGTAAACACTGAAAACTGGTGCGAGTCCGCCCAAAAGTACCTCGCGGCCTCACCTTTAGGTGCTTATCATTTCCTTATTAGTGATCCAATCTTCATGATATTTGCCCAAGTTACTCTCGAGAGTATGCATTATCAATCTGTGGTGTCAAATTTTAATTTTTCCAAAATTCATTTTTTCGAATTAATGCCACCTAGATCGGGTCTGGGAACCAATGTGCGGCGCGGCGCGGCGCGCGGCGGAAGTTAAGATTAAACCACATACATGTTTGTTCTTTCATAATTTTTTCTTTCATTTCTTATGAATGAAGGCCTTGTCCACACAGAGATCGGTTTACGAAACTTAACTTTCGCGCAAAGTTCCGTGAACTTTTGCTAGTAGTGCTGACAGGAATTTCGCAAAAAATGTGTTCAACAAGAGTAAACACATCTTATGCACCCCTCCCTCTGTTGGTTTTTATTGATATTTCAAAACGAATGAGAAGGGGGCGGCAAAATACAGGCGGCCCATGGGCGGCAAGTAGGTAAATCTGGCCCTGGTCTACTGTCTACTGGTCTGGAAAATTTGGGGGGAAAATAGTTAAATTGTCAGAGAATTATATCAGGTCAGAAAAATCAGGGCAGTGCCAGGGGATTTTATTACTGAAGACTGGGAATCTTGAAAAATCTTGAAATTTGAAACCTGAAAAAACATCAGCGCCGCCCACACAGTTAAACAGGGTGTCCACCGTCAGTAAAATCCAGAAAATATCAGGAAATTCGATGACATCAGAAAAATCTGTCTTGGATTAGGAAATTCTGAGTGTTTCAAGCATTCTTCAATCATTTGAGTCAATTCGTCGAATATCTTGGTTTATCAAATCATATGAGTGTCAGTTTATTCACGCAAAAAGTCGGAAAATTTCAGATTGAATATCAGGGATAATCGGAAATTTTGCAAAAATTTAGAGACTTGCAGCTCCGAAGTATAAAATATTGTCCGCGAACTCTTCATGGGTCTACTTGTAGAGTGAAAGCATGAAAACTGGAGAAGTTTTATCGCTGTGGTAAAGTTTATATTCACAGTTTGACATACGCAGCGAGTAACTCTTGGCATCTATCTACATGGAATCATCAACCATCTGTTGATGCTGGTGACTTCTTATGCCATTGAATATGCTATGGAAGCGTACACGTCTTCTGCCGTGCTTAGGAGGAACGCCGCGCCGTATGAACATTCGAGAATTGTCACATTTCCCTTGATAAAACAAGTATTTTCGACGCAATTTAAGCATATTTTCCCTTGAGATTTTCAGATATTTTAGATTAATTGTATAAAAATTTTGGGAGAAAAGTTTTTCAATTTTTCCAGTATAAATTCGGTTTTTATCGAAGGAACTTTGGCAACTTCTGAAGGCTCATACGGCGTCCTTCCTTAGCACGGGAGTAATCAAAGTATGGATATTTCTTACTGGAATATCAAGCCTCCGATTGGAAGGTCACGTGCATGAAATTCTCTGCCATAAGGGAATATCTCTATTTTTACATGAACCCTGTCGCCCATAAAATTGCATGCTTTCCGGGGCTCACGTGGAAACGGCGATGCGTTCTTACGTCAGAGGAACGACGAAATGTCAACGCTCAACTTTCGACAGAGGTAAGGTTGAGGGTTATTTGAACCTGTAACTCGAGAAAAAGCTGTCGCGGTAGGAGTAATGAAGTCAATTGTAGAAAACTGACGGGTTTTGATTAGAGATAGTTTTAGACTCGTTTCGTAACCTCTTGATCGATCGGCGCGGCGACTCAACGACACAACCTTTTACTGGGCCACAGGCAGCGCCAATTCATCATGAAGGCAGGTCATTACTGCCGTGCCAAGGAAGAACGCCGTATGAACATTCGAGAGTTGCCGAATTTCCTTTGATGAAATGTTCATTTTTTAGAAAAATTATGAATATTTTTCCTTTAAATTTTCAGAATCTTTAGGTAAAATTGTGAACTAAATTATCTGAAAAATTGGGAGGGAAATATTCATAAATTTACCAGGAAATTCGCGTTTTATGAAAGGAGATTTGGCAACGCCTGAAGGTTCATACGGCGTTTTTCCTTAGCACGGCAGATCAGTCCGACGCAACGTTGCTGTAATGTAGCATCTAATGTCATGACGTTTCCTCGGTAGATTTGTTACCCAGCGGGGTATTCAAGTATTCAGGTTCTATAGAGGTGCCTCATTCTGCCGTGATAAGGATGAAAGCCGTACGAGTCTTCAGACGTTGCCAAGTTTCCTCCGATAAAAATCGAATTTACTGGGAAAACTGTGAACATTTTTTCCCACAATTTTCAGACGATTTCGTACGCAATTTCATCTAAAATATCTGAAACTTTCAAGGTAAAATATGCCCGACTGTTGTCAAAAATACATGTTTTATCAAGGGAAATTTGGCAACTCTCTAGTCGAGTGTTCTTACGGCGTTCTTCCTTAGCTCGGCAGTAATTGTGCTCAGTAATCTCTATTGGTAAGTTTAGAAAGAATTCATGCTCACTGACCAGTACTAAATGTTTGTCTTGATCCATAGACACGATGCAGAGAAGAAACTGTAGTAGTGGCTACTAGCCAGACCATGAGGCTGTATGAAGAAAAATTTCCATTTGAGTCAAATGGGAGATTAATTGAATTTTCAGAAAAATTCCCTTTCTTTTGAAAACATTGTTGGGATTATTTTTAAAAATAAACTGAAATGCGTCGTTGCGCATGTCACAGAATCGTTTTTTCGGTGGTTTAAGCTTATAGTTAAGCAAGATATTTTAATATCTGTCCAATACTCATGAACGGAGATGGCTTTCATCGAAATACACGACACATGATGCCCATCGTCTGCTGCGGTAGTTTCAATTATTGACCCCTTCGTTGGTATCGGTCTTAAACATTTGGTGTTTCGACAGATCTTATCAACGTTTGCTCTCATCTACGTATAAGCTTAATCTTCGAGTTACCGGTTTTGTCACAACCCTTGAACGACTTGTTTCACTCATGCTTTCTGCTTGCAGGGGCTGAATTTTGTCGGCTCTTTCCATGGCCGGATTCGCCTACTTGCCGCCCATGGGCCGCCTGTATTTTGCCGCCCCCCTCTCATTCGTTTTGAAACTCGATAAAAACCATCAAATGAACGTGTCAGCGGTGGAGGGGTGCATAAGACGCATTTACTCGTGTTGAACACATTTTTTGGGAAAGCCATGTCAACACTACTAGCTAAAGTTCACGGAACTTTGCGCGAAAGTTAAGTTGCGTAAACCTATCTCTGTGTGGACAAGGCCTTCCATTCACAAGAAATGAACGAAACAATTATGAAAGAACAAACATAAATGTGGATCAATGATATTAACTTCCGCCGCCGCGCCGCGCAGACCGCACCGTGTTGGACGCAATGTGCGAAGTATTCAAGCAGTCTTGTAGGCGCTATGCGTTTCACGCTGACCGCACTGTGTTTGGCGCAATGCGTGAAGTATTCATGCATTCTTGTAGGCGCTATCCGTTTCACTCTAACCGCAATGACCGCACTGTGTTTGATGCAATGCGTGAAATATTCGTGCAGTCTTGTAGGCGCTAATATGTGTTACATGCCGAATGCCGCGCCGAGAGCTTCTTTTTCTCATCTCAAGTCCTCGTTATCATTTCTCTCTAAGTCGCGCCGTTCTTGGCCAAATTGCGTGTATGGTCTCTCTCTTAACTCGACTTATTGAAGGTGCTGTCTCTTGTATCCCTAAGAGACGACAAAATTAGTAACTGCAATACTCTCAGGAAATGAGAGATTTTGTCGCCTTTTCTCGTTTGTAATTTTGTTTTTATAAATCCGATTTTTTTTTATACCTACAACCTACACTTTAAAGAATTGCAAATTTTTGCCGCCTCTTAGATTTGCCGCCATGGGCCATGGCCCATGTGGCCACCCCCTTAATCCGGCCCTGGCTCTTTCACACGAAGATGCAACATCCATCGACGATGAGTCCAAATCGCACCACAGGCCAATTAGAAGCGCTAATTGGACTACATTTTGCAATTTGGAACTATAAATTCTAGCCCGGTTTAAAAACAACGTATGTGCCATTAGTTTCTTTATGCACATGAGTGTTTTTCCAGAAGAGCCAAAATTATAGTTCCAAATTGCAAAATGCAGTCCATTTGTAAGCTGGACTTAAGTGCAATCAAGACTCGTCCTAAGGATATTTAAGTCCAGTAGAAGGATCGACAAAATTCGGCCCCAGAGCTTGAACTTTTCATTACGTATTATCCTATGAAAAGCATTTCCATGCAGAACATCCTTCTAAAGCCAAGTCAGGAAAAGGTTTTGTATAAAATTTTTGAAGAGGAATGCCGCTTAATGCTTCAGTGCTTACTTCTTTTTTGATGGTCAAGTATAAAGTGATGACTTTGTTAATCAATTAAAAACCCGGTTTCCTCCAAATCATGTTTGAGTTCTAAAAAACTGAGGTGTCTTTTTATTTTGTTCCAGCTGGATATTAGATTTATTCTTAAAAGGCCGAAGAAGGGACCTAGAAACAGAAGACTTGTACATAACTTTAAAAGAACACTCATCTGGTTACCTAGGAGATAGATTAGAAAGGTAAGTGTGAAGTCCCGACCCTTTTCTTCAATTTTTACTTTGTATCTCCCTTTGAAGAATAGGTAAAATTCTTTTTTAGTCCTTTACAATTTTCAAAAAGACCTCTACAACATAACCTCATCAATTCAGTATCTTTAAATAACATACTGTTTGACTTGTGACTAAATCAAAATGTTAAAATGCACCTTGAAATGGTCCAAAAAAAGAAAGAAAAAAAACTGAAAACTGCAACGGTTCTCGAAAAAACCTAAGTTGAATTATTTAAGATCCTAAACGTTTCCTCTTCTAGGTTTTTGCATCCTCACGTACCGTTTCCTTATTTGATATCCATTTTAAAGTTTTATTCATTTCTTTCCTGTTTTTTCCAACAGATTATGGCTGCAAGAAGTAACGAATTCAAAAAAATTAAAACGAAAACCTAGTTTATTACGTGCTCTAGTCAAATGTTTTGGTGCAAAATTAATGCTGTATGGACTCCTCTTATGTACAATGGAAATTTGCTTAAGGTAAGATAATGACTCATAAAAGTATTTTTGCTTCACACCTTCAAGTAGTGGCATTTCTTACCCTTATGCACAATGTAGCAGTATCTGTAATATCAAGCACAAAAGTTTTTGTTGGGTGATTCCAAGGTTTAATAGACTAAGTCCAATAGAATAAACAACTTTTTTGGCTGATTTTAGAAACAAGATATCTGCCTTTAATTTCGTCTTCCTAATAAACGCCTCTGTAAATTCCTCCATACAGTCTGTTCCTTCCTATCAAGCGTAGTTCAGACAGGCACTTAATGTACTTAGCAGACTTGTTAGATCTGTCTATGATAAAAATGTGTCTATCGTCTGCTCTCCTACCTCAATCATTATTTTTTCTGTTTTCATCATTTTTCCTTTTGACTCCTTCACACCTCCTCCCTTCCCACACTTTCTCAATGAATTACTGGCTCTCCTCATGTCTGTTGAGAATTTTAGCGCCTGGAAAGGCAAGTACCTTTATTTTATTTTATTTTATTTTTTTACATAGTTTATGGTCAATCTAGAAAGATTAACCAATTATCTTGATCTGTATTCACTCCTCAAAATTGTTTGTCAAAAAGTATGCCCATAACAATAAGTTTAATTATTATCACATCGATCTCAAAATGAGATACAAGCATTAATAATTATCATTATGTAAAAGCCGATCACCAAATGACATCATTCATCCCAGCTAATCTGCGTTTAGGATGTGCTGTCAAAGTGTGTGCTGTCCAAAAGTCGATTTCCAAATTTTCTGGCATGCACATAGTCTTCTATTGCGTCTGTTTAGCCTTTATATCAATTTCCAGAAAACATATTTTCGATTTGCTCTCAATTGTTGTTGAGCACAGTTTTTGTCTGATTCTTTTCTAGCGACCATAAATTTATATTTTCTCCTGCATTTTTTCATTTTCTTTTTTTTTTTTCCAAATATTACGAAAAGTAAAATAATGTAGAATTATTATACAGACTGAATCAGGAATACAAAAACTATTTTGTACAGGCTTGGAATTATTTTTCTTTGTGCTTTTTATCGTCAGGCTAAAACCCATGCTCCCAAGTCTCCAATTTTTAATCTGACAGATCGCTAGTTACTTAAGTAGATATTTGGAAGCCTAGTCAGTCGTTTAGGACTGTGATAGTGTGATAGTATGATACCTCCCTCCTCAACCCCCCTCCCCCTTCTAGTTAATTCTATGATTGGCTGCAAAAGGAGTAATTTCTGGCGCTCAATTCATTCATCCTAATTAGTAAACAGACAGCGGTGGAAGATAGTGTTGATATCAGTGTCAACAAAGTCTTTATCAGAGGGGAGGAGCCATTCATTAGTGAGAAGAGTATCCAGTCCATTACTCAAGTTGAGTATTCCCTTATGAAATTTCTCCACTCAAATGACACAATAAGCTGCAAAGCTAAACATCTAATTACCTAGAAACAGTGGAGATACTCGCTTACTTTCTAATAAGACCACGATTTTAATCCTCATAAATAGAGAAATGTCTTGATGGTGAATTGATATCCTCTATTATATTTAATTTATCATATGATTAATCCTCTTTTATACATATTTGATCGATTTGTAGTAAAACACAAAATATTTCATTTCTTGAATAGAGCCTCAAATGCATCAAAACACTGCCAGAACAAACCTCCAAGCCAATCCATCTGTACCCTCTTGTAAAATTTATCCTTTTTTGCTCCTTTCTGTCTAACCATCTTGCCTTAGATCTTTTTCTTCAGTATGGTTTATTTTGCCTTGGGTCTTCAATTTTTGCGAAGTTTGGTTTGACGTTAAATTAGAGTTGTTACTTTCTTGACGTAGAAGTTTTTCTCTATTTATTTTTTGAGTTTCTATTACTGCATATGGGTGGTTTTCTATTGAATATGACCAAAAAGATTTCATATCCCCCCCTCACGAAAGTATGTTTGTACTACCAAAAATGAATAACATGTTGCAAGGTAATGTCAGTCCTTTTGGTTTTATTTCCTCTTTGATTATCTGGTTTTGCTGCGAATGGATTTCAGTCCTATGATTTCGTTTTTTGCTTTTGCTGCAATCCCATTTCTTTCTATAATGTTCTATTCTATCCTAACCCACTCACACTCATTTGAAGTAAAACTGTTCAGACTAGGATTTGTATGCCTCACGCTTTGCTTCATCAATAGAGGCGCACAGCTAAGTAGTTAGTTTGAAATTCTCTTTAGCTCTCACCTTTTTCAGTTTTTACTTCTATACTTGTTATTAGCGATTTTGAATTTTATAGAACTCCCTACAGGAAACAGGTCGACCAATCCTATGAGGGTCATCCTAAAAGTAAGTTTCCCTACCTTGTATCTTCCGAACGAAAAGAAATAAATCAAATCGGTAAAAAGGCACATACTATGCATACTCTAAGCTTTAAAACAAGTTCAAGTTTTTGAAAATCGGTCAAGGGGTTCGCGAGTAAACTTAAGTTTACCGAGACAACCTCCTGTCACCGCGTGCCCACCTCCGGGGTCAGGATGCGCGGAGAGTCGATTATAGAAGACTCGGGTTATCGCCTCGATATATCACATCAACAAGGAATTTTAATGTTTTCATTGAATAGGCCTTACCTTACTTTTTGACTTAGTCTTCACATCTTTTTTGATATTTCTGGCATCATCATGGCAGCTTCTTGATGCCTTCCGCATAGAAGCTTTCGCCTTGACTCTGAAACCAGTCATTGACAGCGATCTGTACCTCTGAATCGGTTGAAAATCGCTTCCATCGTTGAAGTTTTTCCGCTCGGGAACAAATGATAGTCACATGAAGCTAAAGTACGAAAGTTTGAAGGATTGGGGAAAAATTTCCCTACGCAAAGCAACTGATTTGGGAGTGCAGATCGCTGTCAATGACTAGTTTCGTAGCCAAGACGAGATCTTCTACGCGGAGGGCGTCAAGAAGCTGCTGTAATGGTACCAAAAATGTCAAAGAAGATGTGGAGACTACGTCAAAAAATAAGGTAACTACTACTAACTACTAGTAAGGTAGTTACTCAATGAAAACTTTAACATTTCTTGTTGATGTGATGTATTGAGGCGGTAACCCGAGTCTTCTATAATCGACTCTCCGCGCATCCTGACCCCGGAGGTGGGCACGCGGCGACAGGAGGTTGTCTCGGTAAAATTAAGTTTACTCGCGAACCCCTTGACCGATTTTCAGAAACTTGAGCTTGTTTTAAAGCTTAGAGTATGCCTAATATGTGCCTTTTTACCGATTTGATTTATTACTTTTCGTTCGGAAGATACAAGGTAGGGAAACTTACTTTTTGGATGACCCTCGTATATTCCTGAATAAACATTCCGTTAATCCCTGCATATCAATGACAGGGATTTTTCTTTCCTAGACCAAAATGTACTGATGCTCCCTGACACTTATTGAGTTGGGATCTCCTTGAAATGAATTCTCCCTAGTATAAAGATTTTAATGTATTCCACGAGGTTTCATGTCAAGGCAGACTCCGAGTTTGTCTTGAAAATTCAGATCGGAGCTCTGAAAATATTTCTCTTGCCTTTCAGCCATTGCTTACATCAAGCCGTAGGTCCACTCGAAAATTCCGCTCTATCAAGTTTAATAAGACACGCTTTTAGGTTTGGGTAGTGGTTTATAAAGTTTGGTTCCTTATTTTATTTTTAGCTTAACGTTTACAGATAAGCAGGGTCAATATCAGAGTGCAAATTCTTGTACACCTGTCTCTCTGTCATTTTGAAACAGTGCTCTCTGTTTGCTTTTATTGTTATTTATTTTCTTTTTTTCTACTTTAAAATAATAATTAATAGCTGCAAAAATTTGGATATCCTAGAAATTAATATCAATAAGTAAGATTTGAAGTCGCCTTTGCAAATTTCAGAGAAGAGAAGGGGAGGAAAAGAAAAAAGAGGTACTTTTAATTTTTGATTGAATAAAAAATTCTGTGATTCTCTTGCGTCCTTTGGATGAACTTTTGTCAAAACGAATCTGTGATTATATACCAGTAAGAAAAAATTTTTGAGAAGGAAAAGGAGGAGTTTAGAATTTCTATTTGCAGAATAAACTTACTTGCAATACCTTTGAATTTTATTCTGTTTCTCAGTAAAGACTTCTTGTCATGAAATATCATTAGAATCTCTTCGTTTCAGTCAAAATTTTGAGTGAGATTTGCATAGAGAGTTTTCTATGGTGCAGCAACAAGATAAAATTAGTCGGAATATTTTTTGTAACCTCTCTGGTTATTTCTTCTTCATCCAGTCTCTTCAGCCCTTTCAATTCTTCACCTTTCCTATCGATATCGTTTAGGGATGGAAACGGTGTGTGGCATTACTCTAAAAGTTTTTGGTTTCTTTCTTTCCTTTCTTTAATGTACCTTATTCACCTTGTTCTTTTTTCTTCTCTTACCTATGTTCAGTTGATTACCCATTAATATTTCACCTCTCATTGTGTTCAATCACTTTTTCTACAAGGAGTTGGTTCAATTTAAAATTGCCAAAAATGACTATTCAACGTTTTACATTCCTCATATGCAGTTGGAGAGGATTTTTTTCTCCGTTAAAACAAAAAACTGACTGTTGTCCATGAAAATTTATGAGGTAATATATTAAAGAAAGTATTAGATCTCATATCCTTCCGGCACTGATTCAAGACTCATCTCCACCATAGAGCATGCTCAGGCCGACCATGAACAGGCTGCCTGTGGGCTGATGATTGAAATTATTAGGCAAAGTTGTAAACAAAGAGGATGAAGAGAAAATGGAGCGATCTTATTTGTTGAAACATGTAGTTGTTATAGAATAAGAGGGAAAATTATGACAAACTATAGGACCTCTCATCGGCTGCTGTTCGTAGGTCTATCACTTACCTCCTTTGTCTAATGCAGTCGCTGGTTTCTACCAATAAGATCGCTATATTGTTTGTTTGTCTTCTTTGTTTATTGCTTTGTCTATCAATTTCAATAATCAGCCTGTAGGTATCGTTGCATTTGTCGGTAATACAAAATTTCATTATTTATATAATTAATTACCTAATTTATTGATTTATTTATTTATTAATCATGAAGGCTATGCCCAAGAGAAAGCAATACTAGTGGTGGAACAAAACCATGGTAATTAGCCTCCAGAAATTGAAAGAGACATCAATTCGACACTGCCTTGGCAGTTTAAGTTCTTAAGGTATGAGAAGAAAATGCTCTTTTCAAAACACTGCCAAATCTTTTTTATAGACTTCATGTCATCTTGGCCTATTATCCAATCTTCATCCATCAAAGGAATGAAAAGTGAAACGGATAAAGTACTTACTTTAAGGGTGTAGTAGACCCTGCACAGTGCTCGTAGCAATTTATTTTTAATAAATGCGGAAACCAGCCGTTTCATCCCTCTCTTCATAATCCACAAATTATTTCCAAACTTGCTTTTACTAAAACCATTAGAACCGCTTTAAAAGTTATAAAGCTGTAGATTTATTGGAGCCAAATTGTCACGGAAAATAGGCAGAGTTGTATGCATCTTCCTCTGTGCAGCCTCCAATGGAGTTTTCTTGAAAGTCTGTCATCATGGATTTGAATAACTATTGCTGTGATCAATGAAACGCAATGTACTGTGTGAAATCAACTTTCAAGCTCAAAAGAAGCACTTAAAGTTCAGACCTTAATAGGCGAGTACCTTGTCCATGTAGGAGATTTCAGTTCCATATCTATTCAAATTCTCAATGCCAAGATAAAGCTTAATACATTACGTACTAAATTTAAAAAAAAAAAATCTAAATGATTAAATCTCAAATCTCTGATTCTCAACAGAACTCCATTCCTCCCCAAGGAACAGTAACATTTATTAGCGGCTAATATTAATTAACCTGTTTGGGAATATTTCTGTGTAGAGTGCCTCAGCCTATTCTGCTGGGTGGGTTGATAAGTTACTTTACTCAGAGGTCTCAAATGTCCTTCACAAGTGCGCTTTGCCTCTGCGCTGCCTTGATCTTTCTCATATTTGTTTGCGCCCTTTGCGGCGAGCACCCATATTTCATGGCGGCTGTTCACATGGGGATGAAATTGCGAGTTGCTTGTTGCTCCCTAGTCCATCGTAAGGTAGGTCCTCTATTTTATCAGTAATTCTTCTCGCAATCTAGAAAAAAAGCAACTTGATCAACAGCACCCTGCAACCAAACACTAACTTTTGGGGCCAAAGGAAAATTCACTAATTTTCAGAATCTTTAATTTTGGTACAGAAAATATTAGAAGTGCATGGATTATCATAAATTTACCGTTCTCATGAGCTCTCAACTCCAAGTAGGTCAATAATTTTAAGGAGCTCCCTATTTTTTCTCCAAAAAAAATAAAATAGTTACGATCGTACATCAAGCATTGTTCTCGGAAAACGGAGCAATCCTTTTTAATTTTACCGAAAATATTACAGTACTACTGTGTTTGAACAAAATTCAGTCTCAAGTTCACAAGTAACTCTCTAAGTTGACTGTTTACTTTTACACTACCAGCGGGCTGATTATTGAAAATGATTGAGAAAGCTATAGACAAAGAAGACATAGGGAGTATGGAGTAATTCTATTGGTTGAAATGGGGAGTTCCTTTCAACTAAAGGAGAAAATGACGGACTAACTATTGGGTCTCTCGTGGGTTGCTGTTAGTTAGTCCATTACCTACCTTCTTTGTCTGTTGCAACCACCCACTTCCATCAGTAGGATGCTAGAATGTCACTTTTCAAATTGTAGGAACTAGCCTCATATCAAATCAGTTTTGCTCTCTTCCCAACAAGAAAGCCTGTATAACTTGAAACATTTTCTAATGTTCGTTCAATCTTGGCTTGACTGGAGTATCTATTGACAGTTCACTCACATGCTTTTGCTACATCTGCCCTAGCTTGCAACCTGAATCGGGTCTTGCTGACGAACAGAATTGAAGAGAAGAAACTCCTCCTTTCTTTGCTCAAAAGATGTTAAATAATATATTTTCATGTGTTTCTCCGTCTCTCAATTTCTCCATTCTCTTTCTTTTTTTAAATTAGTATTTTTTAATTCATCCCTCAAAAAAGCTGGTGCTTCCGGTGGCCAGTATTGCTTATGGCCATTTGCCAAAGTCAGTAACACACTACAATATCTGATAAGAAGAGTGTTGTTTAGGAATTTAATGCAATTGAATTAAGATTCAGAGAGAGGAAAAACATGAAAACATTACATAAAACTGAAAATTTCAATTACGAACAAATAAATCAATATTGTGAAACAATCTGACCGTCAACTACCATTTTTATTTCTTCCTTTATTTTTTTTTATTTTATATTTATTCAAAAGAATCTCTTCAAACAGGAAATATTCAGATAACAATTTTGCTTCCTGAAACCATAACCTATCGATATTTACGTATGTAGTGAGTTCCAATCCGAAGGGGTATAAATGTAGCTTTATCTTCATTTTTCTGCCAAAAGAGAGGTTCATAGTTACTTAATCAAATGGTTTATGGTGTTTGAGAGAAATTGAGGCAGAACCTAGGCTTTCAGATTTGATTCCATTGAAGAGGAACACAAAATATTTCACTTATCTCCTTGAGGATAAATCATTGATATTTCTTACTTCCAAGCAAATACTCCAGTTGATGCAATGCATTTGAGATGAGTTCCAAATTCGGAAATCCCTTTGCTTTGAAGAAGCTTGCATCTGAGAACATTATTAAGCCAGATTTTCCTCAAATAGTACGAAAAATTTAAAATATTTGTATCTGTTCGTTTGGCTATTTTTTTCTAACTTTTTACCATCAGTGTCTGGGTTTTTTTTTTGATTACTTGAGTTGATGCAAATGTGAAAACTCTGTGGGTATTTTGGTTCCTTTTTTCCTTACTTTCGTACACTTGCATTTTTTAATTAGCCGATTAAATATGTTATAAACTCAGGTTTCTGCAGTTGAATCAAGTAGAAAAGTGGAAAATATTTATTATTGTAACTCCAAGTTTCTGCAACTAGTATTATTGAGGAAACTGTCCTCTAAAAAGTCATCAAAGGGTGTCATTTTGCACTGAAATTCTCAGGATGGTCCCTTCCACCATAGTCTCATCAATTGGTTATAATCATATGCTTTTGTTCTCCCTTGTGCATTGCTAAAGAGTTCCAAATGGGAAAAACGACATTTATGCTTCCTCCTATGATGACATCCTGCCTGCTCTGTTTTTCAAACTACAGTCACCGTATTAATCTTCGAAGTCAAAACTGGGTGCATTGATAGATTTTTTGTTATTTTTTCCTAATCTATAAGATTCAATCATTGAAATACAATCTGTTTTTTGCAAAATTGATCCAATTTTTTTTTTTTTTTTTTTTTTTTTTTTTTTNTTTTTTTTTTTTTTTTTTTTTTTTTTTTTTTTTTTTTTTTTTTTTTTTTTTTTTTATGTACTCTCTCATACTCCCCTTATTTTTCATTTTTTTGCTTTGTAGTTTTTTTGCATTTTATTTGTGTTCTCTTTTTTTAAAGTTACCCTTCTTTATTCTTGAATCTACTTTTGTTGCCTGCTGGAACTTCCTTTTAAAGGAAAAAACAACAGTATCCTTGGCTGTAACACAGGTTATTTCATGAGCAGGGGTCTAAATTGTTCTTGACTGATCAATCACATGGTCGAGAACAGTTGTAGACGTGCCCTAAAAATTGTGGAGGCTGAAAGTCCAACTCTTGTGGAATAATTTTACAACTTCGGCACATATACAAATAATTCATTAATCCAACAAAATATTGATCAGCGTATTGCGAAAAATTGCGGAGGCCTAGAACAATTTGCACCCCTGCTCATGAGATGGATTTATATTATACGTGCCTCTGTTAAGAAACAACTGTATTGCATTTGTTTGATCGCTTACTTTTTGTTTGTTAAATGTAATTAATCTTATTACAAACATAAGCTTACCTGCACAACTTTATTATTCAGTAGATCATCATTTGTGTGTAACTGTAGTCAAGTGCTTGTCGGGTGTATTTGCTTTTCAACCAATATTGAGTTTGTGAATGATACCCTCCTTCTTTTTTCATAGAGATTCATATGCTTTTAGTTACCGGGAAATAGAGGTTGATTATGTTTTTAAGTCTCATTTTTTATTCTATCTACAATGCTTGAATGGTATGAAACTGTAAATCTCCTTTTATACTATTATATTTTGGAACCATTGTTACATCTAGTTGTATTTTTACTTCAAGAAATATTCTATTCCCAAACCGCCTTACTTTCAAAAATATTTTTCCTGGTGTGGTTGTTCAGAACATTCAAGTCTTAAAATATTTCTTTGAAAGAAGTGACAAGGTTTTCTGATTTAAAAGCTCAAACAAAGACTTCATAGAGTATGTGCTTCTCTGTTTTAGATGATCACAATATCAATATTTTCCAGCAAAAATTAGACACTGTTGTGTAGTAAATCATCAGTTACCCAATTTTTTAACACATTATCATCAGATCACCCTAAACTGTTCATTAGTCTTATTGTTAGTTCTGACCAGAAATCTTGGAAGGAATGTGGTTCTTACCGAAAGAACAGGGAGATTGCAATAAAAAATAATATCAATATTAATAAAAATAAAAATAGCAAGTAATAAATTCAATAAGTGCAATAGCGTATTGCTGACTTTGGCCAGTGGCCCGTCAGTTATACTGCTCAAACCAAAAGGGCTCCCTTTTCCGGGCTAGTAAAAAAAATGGCTTCTCTACTCTTCTAGGGTGTTTTCCCTCTGCTCAAAACTGTTTTTCTTTGTTTACCAACATTGACAGCTTAAATAACCAAAAACTCCTCATTTTTAATCTTTTTACCGTGTTACGAATTGGGCCAGTGGAATATGATATGAAATAAGAATTTTCAAATCTTTTTATGCAAAATTCTTTTAATAACTTCAGATGTTTATACCCCTTGTTTATAAAAAAATAAACGGAATCCTTTACAGACAATCTTTAAAGTCAGCTGTTTTTTATGTGCTGCAAATTCCTTGTATCTAATGGTCATGGGAATGTACCTTATCATCTTTTCGGTCCTTAAGTACGACATATCCTATCACTTCTGACTCATTTTTTGACTAAATGATAACTGTAACTGGTAGTATTAATTCAACATTAATTCGTTGCAAAAGATACCTCTTGAAGAAATCGGTCACTTAAATTTGCATCATTGAAATCAGAAAGCATTTACAACTGATGAGATGCAGTGCATTTAAAAAAAAACATAACCACTCTTGTCAAAGGTATTGAAAACAGTTAATTTCTTGAAGAATATCAAGTCTGTATTCTATCAGGTCTTCTTGTGTCATTAAGTCAGTCTTGCAGATTTACAAAAAAAAAATTTCATTTCAAACCGATTTCTTTGTGCCAATTATGGATCAGTACCGCATAATCATGAAATTTAGTTCAGCTGGTTGAGTAAGACAGTAAACCAAAAAGAAATATAATTTTTTAAATGACAAGTTTCTACTTTCCATTTTAATGCAACCATTTTCTTTTAATAAACTTTGAGTGGTTCACTGTTGGTTTCATCTAGGAAGACAATATCGTGAAAAGTCAAAGAAAGCCTGGCATTATCTGTAAATGATACTGCTCCGTGAAAAGCCAAGGAAAATGTGGAAATTGTGTTATTAAACGTTGAATTTTCTTTTCCTGTTTTTTAATGTTGTTACCTAATGATGTGATAAGAACATATAGGTTGTAAGATGCCAGTGACAGTTTATTTAAGGGGACGTCTGACGAAAATGCTTTTGTTCGTCAGATGTTTAAATGTTGAGGAAGTTAGATTGAACGCAAAGTGTATGCCATTATTTGTTCAGGATTGTCTTCTGAATGAACTCAATGAATCATAATCGTCTATTGGCGGAATTTCTTTCACTGCTGACTCAATGATACAAGGCACTGCTATCATCATTCATTCCATTCAATAATATTATTTCATTTCACTTTCTACAAGGAGCATGCAGCTAAATCAAGTCACCATCAAAAATTAAAATGAATACATTGAAAAATATCCAAATTTTTAAAATGAGTAGAGTGAAGTTGATCCTCCTCGAATTTCATGAGTTCATTTTTCTGATGTTAATTGGTTGTTGTTGGATTGTCTGTT